TTGGTTTGGTTTTGGTCAGAACATGTACAATTGCCCCTATTGTTAAGGGGTTAATCCCCCTGGAAGCCTCTAGCATAACTAAAATGTGGAATGGATTATTGGCCAATGATACACAATTAAATTCCATTTTTAAAATGTCCAAGAGCATTCCATTCGTTATAGGAAAACATATATTCCATTATACTAAATCCATTGAGCTCTGTCACAATATAGATTTGTATATAAAGATATAAATAAAAGCATGTTGACATGGATTTATACCTGCCTGCGATGCTGGTGACAGAACTTTATATACACCTACATGTTAAGATTTTCTATGCACAGGAAAAGCCTTTATACATGACTGCATGTCCAGTTTACATTTATACTGCTGGTGATTTTCTAAATGTCTGCCTGTGCGATTTACAGATGGCACATGTGGAAATAGGTTTATATGTATCTGCAATGTCCTGGTAATGTGTATGTTATTAGGGATATTTACTAAAAAGAAATTGTCCGAAATTCAAAGTGAATTCAAAGTAAATTACAAATGTAAAGGATCAGTAAAGCCACTCAGGCCACTTGATCTCAATGAAGTGGCCTAGGTGATTTAACCATTCAAGGTAAACCATTGCATTTTTTCAAAAATGACAATGTTGACATTGAAGGGTTACATACACCTCCAGTGACTGTATAACTCCGTGAGAAGCATTGCATTAGATCAGATTACAGGAGCCATGGAAGGAGGATTACATTGAAGGGTTACATACACCTCCAGTGGCTGTATAACTCTGTGAGAAGCATTGCACTGGATCAGAGCACAGGAACCATGGAAGGAGGATTACATTGAAGGGCTACATACACCTTCAGTGACTGTATAACTCTGTGAGAAGCATTGCATTGGATCAGAGCACAGCAGCCATGGAAGGAGGATTACATTGAAGGGTTACATACACCTTCAGTGACTGTATAACTCTGTGAGAAGCATTGCATTGGATCAGAGCACAGCAGCCATGGAAGGAGGATTACATTGAAGGGTTACATACACCTCAGTGGCTGTATAACTCTGTGAGAAGCATCGCATTGGATCAGATTACAGGAGCCATAGAAGGAGGATTACATTGAAGGGTTACATACACCTCCAGTGGCTGTATAACTCTGTGAGAAGCATTGCATTGGATCAGAGCACAGGCGCCATGGAAGGAGGATTACATTGAAGGGTTACATACACCTCCAGTGGCTGTATAACTCTATGAGAAGCATTGCATTGGATCAGATTACAGGAGCCATGGAAGGAGGATTACATTGAAGGGTTACATACACCTCCAGTGGCTGTATAACTCTATGAGAAGCATTGCATTGGATCAGATTACAGGAGCCATAGAAGGAGGATTACATTGAAGGGTTACATACACCTCCAGTGGCTGTATAACTCTGTGAGAAGCATTGCATTGGATCAGATTACAGGAGCCATGGAAGGAGGATTACATTGAAGGGTTACATACACCTCCAGTGGCTGTATAACTCTGTGAGAAGCATTGCACTGGATCAGAGCACAGGCGCCATGGAAGGAGGATTACATTGAAGGGTTACATACACCTCCAGTGGCTGTATAACTCTATGAGAAGCATTGCATTGGATCAGATTACAGGAGCCATAGAAGGAGGATTACATTGAAGGGTTACATACACCTCCAGTGGCTGTATAACTCTATGAGAAGCATTGCATTGGATCAGATTACAGGAGCCATGGAAGGAGGATTACATTGAAGGGTTACATACACCTCCAGTAGCTGTATAACTCTATGAGAAGCATTGCATTGGATCAGATTACAGGAGCCATGGAAGGAGGATTACATTGAATTGTGACTGTAATGTTAGATTTATTTGTGTATATGGAGATGGATCTTTATATGTTAGTTCATGTATAAACTTGGCAATTGATCATTTTGTTTTTCAGGGCTATGGGTTCTTTTCCATCACTTTGACCACTGTCCACCTACCTTTGCTAGTAAAAAAAAAAAAAAGTAAACTAAAGATTACTCACCTCATTTCCAGCAGCAAAACTCCTCTGCATCGGCTGCCTTCTCCAACTCGATGTTCGTCAACATGCCTGGTGATGCCTTTTGCCAATCTCATCCAATCCAATGCTTCTTGTTGAGAATCATCAGTGAGCCAGATACACATATGCAGCCAAGCACAGCGCTCCTTCAGTCAAATGCTGAATCAGTCTATATAGTACTATATACATTTTGCATAATTGCAAATTAATTTTGTTTACAATAAATAAATTTAATTTGCAATTATGAAAATCGTGTATACACGATTGTGGGGCATGAATATATACTTTGGCAATAGTACCAAGGTGAAGTGGTTAATACAGTAACACAATAGTTGTGGCTGGGGAAAAAAAATGTAAACTTTCAAGGTCACAAATCCCTAGTGTTAGAGCAAATCCATACAAAGCCATGAAAATTCCATCTCAATCCCAGAATAGCTACTAGAAGTCTCCCCGGATCAACATTTCATGTAACCTGGGAACTTTGTACGCAAGGCTCTGCAAAATAGCAAGATAATTCCTGGAGATGTCTACTAAATGTAAATATTTCTGATAATATACAATTTGAATTATTTCCATCAATTATTTCACCAGCAATATTTTATGTGTATCCTTGATTTGTCTTTTTTTAATTTATAATTTTACTCATTTTTTTCAAACCTTATCTATATTTGTCTTTTATATTAAGCCTTGCCATGCCCTCAAATTATAAGGTATTGTTGATCCACATTATGCCAGAACCACCTACTGATACATGCAGTTTTGTAAAAAGACTAGAATTCTGCATATTTGTAGATATGGACTGCTACTACTACTAAGCTCGTTTGAGCAGGGTTCTCATCAACCTATTGTCCCTGCAACATTTTGTAATTGTCTAATATGTTGGCGCTATATAAATGCCAATAATAATAATAATAATAATAATAATAATATTTGTGTTTCTGTTTTTATTACTTTTTATTGATTAACTTTTTCTTTTTTTGCAGCCTTCCCTTGACTACTAAAAAGAGAAAAACAGACCTAACATAAGTGCTAAGTGCTATATGTTAGGTCTGTTTTTCTCTTTTTATAAGTTTCTACTTGATGAAGCCTATTGTGGCGAAACGCGTATAGGAACTTTTTATATAATCTAAGTGTTAATAAAGGAATATTTGGCTATTATACATTTGGTTGCCACATTCCTCTTTCCACCTTAGTATTATATTACCTTCTTTTAGTATAATTTTATTATTTTACTATTTGCAAGTTTATTTTATTCAGACCTGACTACTACTACCTTTTTGTCATATTCTCTGTTTTCCTATCAGCGCTGAACCTCCTTCCTGATCTCGAATTATTCAGCTTTAGTTGTGCACGTTTACTAACATGCTTTAAATGGTTACTCCAACCACCATGACCACTTCAGTGTTATGATATGTGCATTGTTCCTTCCTGAAACACTGAACTACTGAGATATTGTTATTTGTGTGCTGGGGCCTTGTTGCACCACCAGCACACATGACATTGGCAGCCCAGGACTGTTCAAAATCTGCCAATGTCAAATCTGTGCATCTGTCATCAGTCAGGGCATCTGCAAGAGGAAGATTGTTTGCCCCTCCCTCCATTCTCAATTGCGATCAGTATAAAATATAAAATTTAAAACTCCCTCTACTTCCTTCCCATGCTGGCCTGGAGTAGGCGCATGCTCTCTGAGCCAGTGAAATAGACCAATCACAGGCTTCTCTATGACATCAGAGAGTGCACTGGATTCCAGGTAAGTAAAAAGGTTTTATTTGCAGGTTATACAGCAAATGCAAAGTGGGCCCTTTTCCATAATGCCCAATAGGGCATTTTATACTGGAAAGAACCCCAGTGAAAAGTAGGAAAAGCCAGGTTGCTCGTAGAGCAAAGCAGAACCATGAAGGACAGCAAAGCATTTTGGGAAAGATTAATATTGGCCATCAGCATGTATGTACAAAGCATCCCTGCGGCTACCAAGGAAGTTTTTTTTAAATATTTGCTAATTTTGATGTTTGCCTAGTTCCCCAAAGCCCATAGAACAAACCGACAAGTTGAGCAATAAAATCAAACCTTACAAGACCCTCCTACCATTAGATACCCGAATTTGAAAAGGTTATAGAAGTGCATTATATTAAACAATCCATTACATAGTAGTTAGATATCTTTCTTTACATTATAAAAGTCATGCTAAGCTTTCGGTCAGGAAAGAGTAAAACATTTCAAACTGCATAATTTAAGCAGCTTTGGTTGCTTGTCCTTGCACAACGCATAATTTCCATTAGAATTAGAGATGTGTCAATGTACCCTCATTACTTATGCATTTATTATATGTTTATTTTGCATTTTCATTATCTGTGTAGAATGACTGCCTTGTTACTGAGGTAATGCCAGAACAAGGGTACAAGATTATGTGCAGAAGACCATCTAAGCGGATTTTAATGTATTTTTTTACATAATAAATCATTTCACTAGAAGCAAACTATTTATTTTAGAATTAGACAAAATATAATTACAGCACAAAAAGATAATTAGATTATTGAAGAATAAAAATCAAAGAATAAACTGCTGTGTAAAATTGGACCAACCACCCTTTGTTTAAACACTGTAATAAAGAAAAGAATTGCAAGAGTGACAGGTAATAAGTAAATAATCTGGTTTTGCACATACCCACAAGAATTCAATATGTAAGCTAATTACAGGGAAACCATGAAGTGATTCTGTCAAGACGAATGTGACAGGCTCCTAATAGAGCTCCTAATTTTTATTCCTACATTATGCTAGTCAAATGGCTACGTATATAAAGTTATTTAACATTATTTCCCATCAAATTCTATCACCCAAACAGCCAACGTCCAAAAACCACAAAAGTGGTCACCATGATTAAATGTGGACCTATCTATATATATATACACACATACATATACACACACACACACACATATAATATTTTTATTTTATTTTTTTTTACAGATTTTCAATGCACTCTCTCTGACCTCATATATTTTTGAGTAATCCAAGAAAAAAAGTGTATAGAACAATTCAGTATTGCACTTTTTTTCTTGGATTACTCAAAAATATATGAGGTCAGAGAGAGTGCATTGAAAACCTGTAAAAAAAATAAAAAATATATGCACTACAAATTTACTAGGATTCCGCAGTGAACAAGTAAAATTGTGATAACTCATTAATATGTGATCTCCCTAAGCTTTAAGTGTTGTTCTCTCATATTAATTATGAAGTTATAATTTAAAATACTTTATGAGTTTGTAACGATTTGTGGTGAATAGGCTCAATATGCAGAGAACTGTCACTTTAAAGTTTCACTTTATCAAAGAGAACTGTCACTTTAAGAAGGAAATTTTCTATTCATTCCTAATGAGCCAGGAGGTCAGTTCAAGCGACGTAGGTTTAGACAGAGTCAAACAAGCAGATGGTCAATAAACAGGAAGGAGAAACTGTAGGCAATAAGGATTTTTAACACTTTGAGAACTCGCAAGATATCTGAGCAGTGAGTTTGGGGCAGACAGGGTTTACATAGGTAGATGGGAGGAGTAAAACATCCATGAGGTATAGTTTAGAGGGCTATTTAACCCGGGAGGTAACAACGTTTTAATGAGTGTGACACCATGTTAGGCTTTCTAGCCTGTGCTGCTGTTCCTCCTGCACACCCACTGCTCACAGGAGAAAACTGGACAGAGTGGCATGAGGAGCACCATGAAGAGCGCCACATGGGTCCCCACGGAGGTGAAGCTGGCAGACAGGTAAGGAGTCATGGTGCGTACTTTACTATGTGTCAGCGTACATTTTATTTTTGTAGTGTTCCAGGTGGAGTTCTATAGGGTCTACAGTAGTATCAGACATAGTAGTTCACAAGGCCACAGAGCAGATGGAGCATATGCACAAAACAAAAGGAGTATCCAGCACAAATTCAGTTTTACTCACTATCCGAGAGTATAATATCCAAGTTTGTTAAAGCATCTTTTTTTAGAATACTGCTCAATCTGAACTACTGGTCTAGATCATTGTGCATCCAAGGTAAAATGTACAATTTTGTGTTGGTTACTAACTTTTGTGTGTATTCAGTGCACCCTGAGGACTTGTGTGCAACCATGTTAATCAATACTATATAACAACTATAGGCACTGCGATCTCGCGGCATGCGCAAAACAAGTCAGGGGGATCAGGCCATCCTTCACAAGCACCTTTACCCTTATATACACAACTGGTAAGTCAACACACTAGTAAATAAGTGCAACATTTCGGCTCTATGCAGCCTTAATCATACATAACAAGTACAAACATTCATTAGGTATATATTCTCTTTTAATTAATTAGTAGATCACATGGTCAATTTAATTAGCAATACATTCCTAAAATCCTGGCATGGATTACTCCCTGTATTATATTTAAGTGTCACAAAGATTAAATATTTTGTTTTTCAGTTTAACTCATGGATGGCATTGTGTCTCAGGGCTCTTTTGATCACTGAAAACAATCTCGGACACCTGTGATAATTAGATTGCCAGGTAAGCCCAATTTAAGGAAAAACTACTAAAGGAGGGTGTTACACATTATTAAGCAGAGCACCATTTTCATGCAATATGGGAAAGAAAAAGGATCTCTCTGCTGCCGAAAAGAGTGAAATAGTTCAATGCCTTGGACGAGGTATGAAAACATTAGATATTTCACGAAAACTTAAGTGTGATCATCGGATTATTAAGAGATTTGTGGCTGATTCAGAGCACAGACGGATTTGTGCAGATAAAGACATTGAGGAAGATTTCTGCCAGATCCATGCATCGGATCAAGAGAGCAGCTGCTAAAATACCATTACATAGCAGCAAACAGATATTTTAAGCTGCTGGTGCCTCTGGAGTCCCAGGGACATCAAGGTGTAGAGTCCTCCAGAGTCTTGCAACTGTGCATAAACCTTCTATTCAGCCACCATTAACCAATGCTCACAAACAGAAATGACTGCATTGGGCAGAAAAATACATGAAGACTAATTTTCAAACAGTCCTGTTCACTGATGAGTGCCATGCAACCCTGGATGGTTGGTGGATGAGGTAAGTATATACAGAGGGAGAGGGAGGGAGGGAAGGGGTTAAAAAATTTTTTAATTATTATTTTTTACTTTTTAAAATTTTATTATTTAATATTTATTATTATGCCAGTCTGATTATTTTATCTGTTCCTATCTACTTGATAAGGCCTTACAAGGCAAAACGTGTTGTAGATATATATTTTATTTTATTGATTTGTACCAATAAAGGAATCTTTTAATAACTTTTAAACCTGGCATCCTGATTCTACTATTTCAAGTGAGGACCAAAAGAATCCTAGGTGGGGTGGAACGACAAGAACCCAACCCTCAAGAACAATTTAATCCTATCAAGTATGGCTGTTCCTTTTAAAGACTTTTATACTCTTTCTTTTTATTTCAGTATACCTGTATTTTATTTATATTATCAGATGTTTTGTCTCTGGTAAATACAAAAAATATATTCTTTGGTATATTAAGCGCAAACTTATTCTCCTTCTCTTTCTCTTGTTGCTAATATTAGGAGGGAACCTCTTTCTCCCTTAAGGTGTGCTGCCCCATAACAAATTCTATTTGTGACTTTCTTCAGCGCTGACCCTTTTGTGAACACTTCCTATTATTTATACAACTAGTTTGGGTTATGATTGATTGGTAAATGTAACTAGGTGGGTGGTTGACTGATAAGTGGGACATAGCTGGGAGAGCATGTCTATATATGTGTGTAAAGGCTGCTTGTAGGGTTGTATGTTTGTGGAAATGCAGCTTGTGGGAATGCATGTAGGGTGGTGGCTGCTTTGTGTTGCATTTGGGGCTGTAGTGGAGGTATATATGCTTTAGTGGGGGTTAGTGGCTATAGTAAGATTAGTGTACATGTAGTTAGGAAATAGAGGCTGTAGTTGGAGAATTAGGGCTATAATGGGGGATAGGGGCTATAGTGGATGGATAGTGACTATGGTGGGATGATAGGGGCCATAGTGGGGAGAATAGTGGTTATAGTGGGTGGGAGTAGAGGCTACAGCAGGGAGGATAGTACAGATCTTTGGTCTTCCCATCGGTTACTCCTCTCCTGCCTGCCGCCCTGGCCTTGATGGTCTTGTGGCAAATCTGGCCCTGACTGGGGCTGAATCCAAACAGAGGTGATATCACTTCTCTAGTCATCTTCATTTGGAACTTGAGGAGCTGGTCTATTCTGACACTGCAGCTCTGTTGCTCTCTCTTCCAGCTGCCTCTTCTTGCTGACAGTGTACCTTATACTGAAAAAAAACACCTCTTGTATAATGTTAAAATTTCCACTGATAACTGCCTCAGGCAATCCATATCACCCAACATTAAGCATGGTAAAAGGAGACAGACCAAAGACCAAAGGCACAAAACATGTCACTGGTGCTGTCCAAAGTGGGGGGAAGGAGGGTTGCCGGAAGAACTGCCAAGTTAACCAGATGAGTAAGAATTCCAGGCTGCCTGTCAATCATGCAGGCCAGCACCCTGGGTGCTCTCTGCAGTGTCCTAGTACCTAAGCATCATATGAGAATGTCTAATAATGTGCTTGCATTAAGGTTTTAGTGGGCATTTCTCTAGTGTTCCAGAAGTGGAACACTAGGGAACAAAGCCAGAATGGAGGGACAGGGCTCTAAAATCAGGACTGTCTTAACTAAATTGGAAAGGTTGGGAAGCCTGTCCAATCTGCATGCAGTACCTAAGTGCCCAGCAAAAAAACAATGTATAAACCGATTCACCAAAGCTGCAGCTCTGCACATATTAGCACAAGCTAAATTGTTTGTTTCATTTCAAACCAGCAGTTCTACATGCTTCTTCCCTTGGGCAGTCCTGATTCCAGACCTGTGGTCCTGTATTGTCACTGTGAGTTCACGTGTTTACCAACCCTGAATGCTGGTGGATTTAGTTGTCTGAAATGAAAATAAGGAATAGTAATACGGAAACAAATGACAGCTTATTCATGTCCATACATACAAATTTTATTAAAAAAATGTGCTATCCTTTATTTTATCGTTTGTGAAAATATTTGCGGTTAGGTTATCTGGAGAAATCATGTTTTACTGTGAATCTAATGCTGATGTTGCTCAGTGAATTGAACTTGTCAACCAAATAATTAACGAATGGCGAAATCTGGTAGCAATATGCAAATACAGCTTTAATTTCATTTTGCTTAGAAGGATAAACATTGATACAATTTATTGGACTGAATGCAAGAATTAAACAAAGTAAAATAGACTGCTCAACTTTCCAACAGCGGAAAAGGCATATTTGGGATTTTAGAGTTTCCTCCACTGTTGCATACATTATTCACCACTAAATAAATAAAACTGTTCCATAGTGGTCCTACAATGCTCAAGAATAAATCTATTTTAGTCCATTCCCAGGCTCATTATAAAGGCTGCTCACACAAATAAAGCTGAAAGCTCTCCAAACATTGCTCAAATAATAAGAATCAATCTGTATGTACACAGCCTCCTCTTCACTTCCATCATTCCTAGGGAATTGTGTGCTTATTTGTGTTTGTGTTGTTACTGTATAATTTCATCCTGATGCAAGCTGTAGGCTTCCATCTATGTGTCTAGGAATGAATTAAATCTCCAGCAATGTAACTGCAATTTAAATATTTATCTGCACAGAAGAAAACTCTGACTGTTTATGATACAGTGTCGCTGGCACTTTGCATGTTGATGTAAGGTGACATATAATCAATAAGCAGCAGATATAAGGAACACTAGAGCCGTAAATAAAGGTCAAAAGCTTTATAAAGGATTTTTCCATAGAAACAAATAGCTCTGAGGGTGGAGATCATTAAAATGTGGACAAGATATAGAAAAAAGAAAAGTGTTTTTGTTTAGTTTTTTAGTTAATTTGCATTGTGAAACTGTAATTAAAACTTGTTTTATTTTGTTGCGTCCTCTTCTTGCAAATTAGGTTATTATATGAATATATATCTTTTCAGTTTAAAGTAATACTGCAAGCCCTATAACCACTACAGCATGCTGAGTGCCCTTGCACCTGGCCAGTGTCAGTAATCAATCTATTTGCTAATTTTGTGTCAAATTACCTAGGCTACAC